CTTGGACTCGCTGGACCCGTCCAATTCCAGTTTTGGAAAGTCTGCCGTGGTTCCATTCCATTTCATAGAGCTGTGACGCTCAGCGTAACCTTTTCGCACTGCACTCCAACATCCAATCACAGGGCTTGATGACTAATCACGGGGTTTGTAAAGCAAGGCGGATGTTGTAGTCCCAAATGATACCTGGAGATTCTGGGTAGTGTAGTGTCTTCGGAAACTGTAGTTTTTAAACTCCGAAAAAACTATTTGTTTCTCTGAATCGAAGGTTAAAAACACGAAAGCATTGTCCACAATTTAAACCAATCAATATTGTGTAATTAAGGATTATTAAGGATAAACTTGTGTTTTTTAGTGGATGAATACGGCAGATATCACTGTAAATCATTTGACAGTGAGGGGAATATATCCAGTTTTATTATGAAAACTTCGAGACCGGAAAAACTGTTTTCACCCACGCTGACTTTACATGGAAGCTGCATACACGTTCTCCTGACGAGACCTCAAATCATCTTCGTAATATCTATCAAACTATAGATCCTACACATCGACTGGACGTGGATTCTAAGAGTACAATATACACTTCCCGCCAGAAATCGAATCAAAGAGCATTTTAATGGCCAAACTATTACACAATTTAGGATTTTCCAGAGAGGGTTATTTGTGAATAAACGTCCCTCCGGAGCGTTTGCAATGAACGGGCCGGCAGCATGTTGTTTCTTACACGACCACTAGAGCACCTCTAGTGGTCGTGGAAGAAACAACATACACTTTAAAACGTGTCTCTGGGTCGTAATAAGGGCATGAACAATCGGCCTATATGGTCGTTTTTTGTAGGAGGACAGGCTGAACTTAACACACGTTTCTTGCAGGAAAATGGCGTTTAAAATTACCTTAAGAACACGTTAAAATAGTGGTGAAATATGGCACTCAGAGGATTTTCAGTAAGTCTGGACCTGATTCTCCGATGAGCATGCTCATGTTGAAATCTGTTTCTTTGTATTTATACATTTGGACTTGACAGCATGTACAGTATATACTATCACTGGGATATAATGTCTTCATTTATTTATTTTGTGTCAATTATTATAGATTAAGCCATCCAGCAGTATATAAATAATTTTAAACGGGCTCAATGTTTAAAGGCAAAGTACAAGAATGCATCAATAATTCAATAACAAATACATGATATTATTCTGAAATTGGCTATTCTTTATGATGAACATTTTATATTTGCTATATACTTTTGTACTTTTACTTAAGAGTAAGAATTTGAAGGTGGGATTTGACTTTATTTTGCTAAGTTTCCTCGAGTCAAAGATGGGAGTACCTATTCCACCGTTGCTGATTATCTGTTTGTTTCTGTATGCACGCAGCGCTGTAAACACTCCCTGCAGCCGTACCGTCTCAGAAACATCAAACCTGGCTAATGAAGAGTTCAGTCTGAAGGAGCAGAGACCTGCCAACTATTATGTACCATCCGCGTGTATCACTGAATCTCATGCTGCATTTGCATGGCATGGTACAGCTGTGGGTAGTAGGTTGTAGATTTGTATTTTATGTTTTTTTTAAATATTTTTTTGGACAAACCAGTGCCCCTAAATGGTTTCTGCATCCTGGAGGAAACAGTTATTTGATAGGCAGTATCCAATAGTGTAAAACATATGATGTGTAATATTGGTGTTACATGGGTGGAATGTGGGTTTAATAACAGTGTTACATGGGTGTACAATATAGGAGTAATAATAGTGTAACTTGGGTGAAATAGGGGTGTATTAATGTGTAATGTGGGAGCAATAACAGTGGAATATGGGTGCAATTACGATGTAAGAAGGGTGTTACTTGGGTGTGATATGGATGTAATAACAGTGTAAAATAGGTGTAATTACAGTATGGTGTAATAGGGGTGTATAAATGTGTGATCTGGGTGTAATAAGAGTGTAATTTGGGTGTAATGTAGGAAGTACTATCAATAATTTTCCAAAATATGTATATGTGATTGCCCATTAAAGGATTTAAGAATAGAATGTTTGGGAATCTAATAAAAAAGATAAAAATGGGTGTCAGATTGGGAAAATATACCATCACATCCTCCCACAGAATCCCTCAGTTGAGCAGCCTTGGCTCTCCAACTGGAAACAAAGCTCAAAACACACACTAAAGCTGTGGTTACATTTATCGTTGGACCTACGGTAACTGAAAAATCAGTGCATTACTACTGTATACAGACAACAATGGGTGCCTTTGCATATTTTGATGTCGGGGGATTTGACAAAATGTCGGTATTATACTACTTGAGAATAATAATAGGCGAGAGTCAAAGCTCGGTTTAGGGTCTGCATAGCAACAAGAAAAAAACACACCAAGACCGACAGATGGTATGTACACTGTCTCAGTCACAGAGAGCCACAAAAGGATTTGAAATGATACTGGGTGAATCTGGCCAACAGCCTGCTGTCTTAAAAAGTGAAGAACTGCACATGAACTTCAGTTTGCAGCCTTTAAAACACACACATCTCTCTTTCTTTGTGATTTGCAATGCTGTGGAGAGAATCCAAACTGGCATAATTGAACATTTTCATTTGTACTGCTGAGACATTTCAGTGTGTGTCCAAGGATGGTGCCAACATGTTGGATTTGGAGGACTGGAAAGAAAGATAATGTAATCAACAGTCTAGATTGTGTTTTTATAAAGATCATGGAAGTTGTTTAACTTGACAATGAACCTGACTCTTGTGCTGGCTATATCTCTTTCAGATATGTCCCTCATTTGTAGCTTTTAGATATTTATAGAGCCTTTTCAGTACACTTGAGCTCCGAGCACCCTGAGGTACTATTCTGCCATAACATCTGTCTCTACTGTGGATCTCAGGTGTTTAAAGGAGCCCTATCATGCTCATGTTCAAATGCATGTCTGTATTTAGTGTCTCTACTGTGACATGTCTCCATGCTTTACTGTTCAAAAAGCTCTTTATTTTTCTCATACACATCTTTTCACCCTCTGTCTGAAACCAGAGCCAAGTCTGCTCTGATTGGTTATCAAGCCGGCTCTCTTGTGATTGGTCAACTAGAAATGTCACGTCCTCTTAGCCTATCATGTATAATGTGTTGTACAGATCTAACATAGTGATGCAATTATAGTACAGAAGTAAACAAAGGAGTCCAATGGAGGCGTTTCAGGCAGTGGGGGGGGGTTGAGGTGGAGTGTGTGGGAGAGAAACTGCCACTGGGACACAGGGATTTTACATGTGTGACCGGAGGTCTTCTCCCTCTGTGCCGCTGCTTGGCACCGGGCCAGCGCACCAATTGTGCGCACCGGCTATTTAAGCTGAGGTGCCAAACTGGGTCCCTCCCATTTCCGCTTCTCCTGTGGTGGCTGCAGCTTGGCGTAATAACGCAAATTGTTTGGCGGGGCAGCATTCAAGTCCTACTCTCTACCGGACAGGTAAAGCACGGTGCAGTCTGTCATTTATTCATGGTCACAAGCTACACACTGCTGACACTTTCCCATTTTAGCGCAGCTGACGTCCAGGGCGTTAGGGGAGGCATTGCTCTGCCAGAGGTTCCGTGATAGCGGCGTTGCACACTGTTGGTGAGTGCCGTTGTCTGCTCTTTTTAAATCTGCTGCGTAGTTCCCCTGCCTTATTAATTCTTTATGTCACAGCAGGATTTGGCCGTGGGATTTGCGGGTCTCATTCCCTCCCTTGTCGGCTCTGTGGCTGCACAGGGTGGTACGTATGAGCCCCTCCCCCATATAAATTAAACCGTCACTTTCATACATATTTTATAGTAATTCTAATCCCCTTTCCAGGGGTGTTCTAAGCATTCTCTCTCCCCACCTTTGGCCATCATTCCCATCCCGTGCTGCTGTTTTGGCTCTGTGTGTTTTGGGCTCTCTGTGAGCTTCGCCCATCGCTGTGGACAGGCTCAGACTGCTCGCTCTGGCCTGTTGCAGGAGCCGTTCTTGGCGTCAGGGAATGGTCGTAATACACGCCATACAGACATTTATATTAATTTGTTATTCATTGCAGTCCTTTACATTTGATTTAATTTGTTATTCTTTGCAGTCCTTTACATTTTATTAATTGTTATTCATTGCAGTCCTTTACATTTGATTTAATTGTTTATTCTTTGCAGTCCTTTACATTTGATTTAATTTGTTTATTCATTGCAGTCCTTTACTTTTGCTTTAATTTGTTTATTCATTTGTTGTTTACATTTATTCAGATTTGGTGTATTTTGTTGTTTTCTTTTGTTTATTCTTTGGTCAGAATCATAACCTTTTTATCCTGTGCCGGACAGGTGCTGTGGGCCT